TCGGCGATCGCCTCGGGAAAATTCGTTGCGCGTGTCGGCGAACCAGGTGCCAAACCATCGAAGAGCAGACACGTATCTAGCACTGATACCATGATAATGACCGCGTTCTGCAATTTGAGCCTTAAATTTAGCCATCTCATACTTGCTCTCCCCTCGGCTATGAAAGTGGTTCGAGCAATGATGCAGTCGAAAGTTGCCACCACACGAAGCGTAGCCGCTCGCACTCTACTCAATTTTCTGATCAAACTTCCAACTCTGGAAGCATCCAATATTGACCACGAGGCGACAAAGTTTAGCATCTTCAAGATGACAGAGCAGCTCGGTAGCACTGATGAAGGCCTGACTCGGATTCGGCTCCTCGCACTCTGTCTGCTTTCACAATCTGCGCCTGAACTTATTACAACGCAAGGTATCCTCCCCCCCCTGGACGCGAGGTCGGCATGTGCTGACCCCCAGTCTGCACTCGCATATGCCCACCTTTGTTGCAACCTCGCAATGTCGCCATCAACGGACAATGCGACAATCGCAAGTCACGCACCAGCCTTGGCACAGCTCCTTGAGATCCCCAACATCAATGGACACTATCGTCTGGAGCTAGCGCGCTGGGTCTATTGTGTGACAAGCAGGATTGATGCTGCAGAGACTCTAATGACCAAAAATATCATGAATATCATATTCGCCCTTGCATCTACCGCCACGCTCATTCCATTCTGCGTCACCGCGCTCTACAATCTGTCCGTAGAGGCCAATGTTCAGGCATCTCTGGTACAACAAGGTGCCATTGAGTTCACTGTCGACCACTGGGCGATGATGGGTGAATCTGAGCGCCTCCTAGCAGCACTCATGGCCTGTAATCTAGCGTGTGGTGAGGTCAATACGGCAAGAATTGTGAAGTCAGGCGGATCGATGGTCATTTCTTACCTCGCTTCCCCAGACTCTTCACCATTTCAGTGTCGTTGCTGTGCAATAGCACTGCGAAATCTCGTCCGCGTTGCTGCGAATCAGCGCCCAATGGCTGCCTCTGGTGCAATAGACACTCTCGTCGCGCTTGCGGCGCTTGACGATCCACTGACAACGCAGCATTGTGCATCTGCGCTTCGCATCTTTACTTACAACAAGACTACTCGTGAAGTGCTGGTCAAGTCAGGTGCCATATCTGTCATCCTCGCAGACTCCCAGGGAAGTACAGGCACTGGCGATGACCTTCAATTGTCTCACTCACTTCTTTGCAAGGTCGAAACAGAGTCTTGGAAAAATGGTAGCAGAAGTGGACAGCAGGAGGGTCGTACCCGGCTCCCGGCGCCCCCAGTCCTTATTGAAAGCGCACATTTGATCTGCAAGACACCCACGCAATTGCATTTTGGTCTTACAAAATCTGAAGGCTGGAAGATGCCTGCTGAGATTGAGATGGATGAGCCGGAACTTGACCCCAAGCAACGAGCTGATTCAATGAAGGATGCCGACGATGACTGCCTGCCCAGGTGGTTATTGAACAACGTGGATGTTGAGTTGGAAACTCAATTATGTGTTTATCCAAAACGAGAGTACGCAGAACCTCGAGGACTCGAACCCAATTGTGACGGTGATGCTTCTTTGGCGCCAAAGATTCGCACAGATGTTGACCTGCCACTGCCATCACAACTCGAGACACTAGAGGATGAAGGTGAGGGGGGGGCGCGTGCTGATCAAGAAATTGCCAGAAAAATGGGTGGTATTGAATACCATGAGAATGCAACGCTCTCATCAAAGCAAAGCAACCATATGACTGGCACTGTCTCAAGCCACATATCGACCGGACGTGTAGCGTCAAAATCTTCCCACGATACAAGTACTTCTCAGATCAAAGGCGATACTGTTCTTTTATCCAGGGAAAGCCCCGGAGGCCACGCCAATGATAGGTCAGCTGCCTGCTTTGACTCGACTGGCATAGTTCAAGGAAGTGGATGTGAGAATGGAGATGGGAGGCTCCAGCTGCCACGGTTATCTGGCCATCCAGGTGCTCGCAGCGGGCTATCCAAGGTCGCAGACTCCAGTCTCCGGCGCACCGCCAAGTTTGCACCTCGGGCAATCTAAGGGGCTCCTAGCAAACTGCGCCCGCTGCGCCGGGGCCGCCGCTTTGAGAGCTCGGCGTTGTGCGGGATTGTCTGGCAGCCTTTCACGGCGCGCCGGGACCGCCGCAGCCGGGACCGCCGCAGCCGGGACCGCCCCAGGGTTCTTTTTTTTAAGTCACCTGGGCAGCGGAGCATTGATTTGCCATTTCTGAAGACGCACGGGGCTTCGTCAAAGAGGCCTCGGTTTAATACCCAAAGAGGCCTAATTGACCACAGACCTCGGTTAAATACATTGACCCATATGCACTGCCAGCTAGAGAACATACATTGCTGAGATGTCGAGCGAGAGGCAGCAGAAGTCGAACACGCCACGGTGGGCGCGTCGCGCGGCGCTGGGGGGCGGGGAACAGAGATCTCAGCTTCTGCGTGTTCCCCCACGAGATGGACTGAAGTTTCAGGATCTCTGACCCCGAGTTCCTACGACGAACTACCCTCTTTTTCTTCCCCTGTGAACCATAACATGCCCAACGCAGCGTCAGAGATCGTTGGATGCTCGAACTCAGTGCACTGAGATCTCGTCCGGCCAATGGGATCAGCGGATTGGATTCCTGGATAGTATATATTTCGCTCTCTACATGCCAGTGCGCCCTGCCCTACCCTCCTCCGTCCCTGCTGAGGTGGCTGCGCCATCCAAGCGCGGCCCGTCGGCCTTCATTCTGGCACCTTTAGTTGAATTGAGCTCAGCCTCTCTTCAGGCTAGTGGGAAATTAGAAGATACAAAAAGGCCAAGTGGACGGAAATACTTTCGATCCCATCAGGCTAAGCGTCTTACATGCAGCACGATGTCGAAGCAGTCGCCCGAAACACCAGAACCAAAGTGAATCAGCGCTGCGGGCGCATAGACGAGCACGTCGAGAAACAGGTGTTGCGTCGGCTCGAATTATGTTACCGTCTAGGCAAGGGCGCGTACGGTATGGTATGGAAAGTGATTGAGAAGCGGACACGGCGGGTGGTGGCATTGAAGAAATGCTTCGATGTGTTGGGCCGGTCAGAGGACGCACAACGCATGTATCGAGAAATAATGTACCTGCAGGCGTTGAGCGCCCACGATAACATCATAAAGATGCAGCACGTAATCCGGGCGGAGACGGGGCAGGATATGTACATCACCTTTGATTTCATGCAGGCTGATCTACTCTCAGTAATACTTGCAAACGTCCTGCAGCCAATTCACGTTAAATATGTGGTTTATCAGCTTCTTAAAGCGTTGAAGTTCATACACAGCGCAGGTATCGTGCACCGAGACGTAAAACCTTCAAACCTTTTGTTGAACTCGGACTGCCATATGAAAATTTGCGATTTTGGTCTTGCACGGTCTCTTGAACTTGGATCTAATGCAGTCGAAAATCCAAAGCTCACCGAGTATGTTGGCACTCGATGGTATCGTGCGATCGAGGTCCTACTTGGATCGTCACATTACACTTTTGCTGTGGACATATGGGCAGTCGCTTGCATCTATGCCGAAATGCTCCTACGTCGCCCGCTCTTTCCCGGCACCTCAGCGGTTGACCAGATTGTAAAGATATTGGCACTTATTGGGAGACCTGGGGCTATTGACATCAACTCAGTAAACAGCGCATACGCTTTTACTCTACTTGAGATGCTCCCTGTGCTGCGCCCGGTCTCGTTTGTAGAGACTTTCCCGGATGTTAGTGCAGAGGCGTTGAATTTCATGTCCCAGTGTCTCAATTATAGCCCTAGAAAAGGCTGCCGTTGTACTGTGGAGGAAGCTTTGAGGCATCCCTTCATCGCGGAGTTCCACGACCCTGACGATGAGCCCTCGTATGGCAAAAAGATAGCCCTTGCTCTCGATGACTATCAGTTATTTACGGCACGTGAATATCGAGTGGCCATATATGGCGCCATATTCAAGCGCAAGGTCTCTGCCCGCAAGCTCGAGCGCGGGCTCATGGCAAATCCTGCCAAGGTCATTCTGATGGAACACGAGGAGACCCTACCAGAGCCCTTTTGATACAGCCCACCGCCGTCCGACACCACCCCGCCTTCGCGGGGTGGACTAACATTGGCCTTGGTTGGTCTGCGCCACGTCGAGTTAGTGGCGATCCATTAAATTGGAGCTAGGTTCTGGACCGAAAGGTGCTGTCCAATGCTCAGCAGCGTCCAGTTTGGTGATGCGCGCGCGGGCGGACCACACGCCCCGTGCGGGACTCGTTCGACGTCTCGGGCTGCCTCCAGCGAGTCGGCGCGGCGGACCGCGGTCGCCGCGCGGCGCCCGGGCGGTCGAGCCGTCCTCACCGGTCCGGGACCCGAGCGCGGGCACAATTTGACCGGCAGCGAGCACGATCTTGCGCTGGAACACCGACAGCCTCTCAGGCGCCGATTTCAGCGGGATGCTGCCGACCGCCGATTTCGTCGCTGGAGCGGCCCGATCTCGACATGAACGTCGAATTAGTGGCGATGCCTTAAAACTGAGCTAGATTATGACGCTATGAACAAGTCCTAAACGGGGCTGCTCCATCGTCGGCCGACTTTGATGCGTGCGCACGCTGTCTTCAACATGTAGTTAACTAAACAAGGCCAAAAACAAACTCTGAAAACGAATAACCCAGGGTGATACTTCCCTTCAAGTAAGCGTTTTGTTGAACATTTAATTACGACTCCCAACCCGAACCGGCGACCCCACACCCTGAAAAGTGTCTCAAACGATACGATTAGCGCGCTAACTAAAAGCGCGCGCCTGGCGGGGGGGATAATTCAACAATTTTGCCAACATTTCGCTCGGCAGCGCGCGGTCGACGGAGGACCCCTATGACCTACTACGGCCGGCGGCCAGCAATAATAAATAAATACTTCTATGGCCGCGGCCAGCCCTATGGTTGTTTTTGGCCTTGAGTAACTTAACTATGAATCCTCCCTGTAAACTACTGACGGCACTGCAGAATAATTATTGTCCCGTATTTACACGATGGCTGTCTGCCCAGGCTGAATAAACCGTAAGTGCTCCTTGTTGAGACTCACAATGCTCACGGTCTTCTACTAGCCCGCCTTGGTCCACGAGGGAGCTTAGTGAGACATACGTCCACCTTCCTCAAACGGGGTTAACTTGAATTTTGATAGCCTTTTTTGGTAGACTGTCGAAATGGGGTGTACGCCAGCGAAGCTACGTAGCCGTCATTCTTCAGGGGCAAATATCCTGCGTGCAAAAGTGATGCAGATGCTTAAAGCTAAACGTGATGAATTAGCCCACGCACCACCAGTGACCTTCTCAAAGATCCTTATGAAGGCAAGCTCCATGAATGCGACTTATAAACGTATAAATGCAGTTTACGATTCGCTAGACACCGATAAAAATGGGTAATCGCGGTGTCTGCTCCAGTCGTGCTCCTCATTCTTGCGCTTTAGGTCTCTGGACTTGAAGGAATTACAGAAAATGATTGATGAACTAGAAATAGGGCATGAGGTTTCTTCAGAAGATCTTCGATCGGTGTTTGAGCTCTGCGATATTGATCACGATGGTACCATCAGCCTCAAGGAATTCATCGTAACACTGAGCCTTCTCTACCTCCTGCGAGCGGTACCAACGCTCGTCAGTGTGCGATCGGAGGGAAAAGATGTTGCTGGGCTCATCAAGCCAACTTGCTCAGCGAGAACTCAGGGTCCTGACATGGGTTCCCCGGAACGTGCCACAAAGCAGGTAGATCATCTGAAGCTGGATCAGTCGACGCCCAGATCCGAATCTGCAAACCAGGATGCATTTCTTGGACGATCAAATGATATCCGTTATCTTGTCCACTGGGTCGTGGCGGCCTACCTCCTCTTTGACACAGACTGCACCGGATCCATCTCGAAAGATAATGTCAAACAGATGCAGACTCAAAGAGAGATTGGTGATGGTTCGGATGTTTTCCTCAACGAAGACCGATGGCAGGAATTAGACTGGGATCACAACGGTGTCGTTGACTTTGAAGAATTTGTATTTGCCTTTTCTGAATGGATTAGGGATTTCGACGACGAATAGGGGCCTTGAAGCGCGGCGCTTTGAAGCAGAGCAGGCATCCCACGCTGCATTTGCCAGCTCGCGCTATGCCCCTGGCGCACTGCAAGTGTTGGCTACTAGTAGGTTTCTGCGGTTGTCGCCATAGCTTTGGTTCGCGTGGGGAAGGGTGCGGCGTTTCTGCGGCACGGTCACGGGTTGCTCTGGGCGGTTGGCTGCGAGTGCTCGGCGTGTGGTGATTTCGCTCTCTCTCTGCGGATTTGCATCTTACCGCCGTGCCCACCTGCCTCGCAGGGAGGCCGCTCCATATGGCGTGCAATCACGCCGTGGCGACGGGTATGTAGATAGCGCGTGGATTGAAGTAGGGCCCTATAGCTCACTACGCTAGCAGTGAGGCGGCGCCCGCCATTCGACTTTGAAATTCGCGCTGGGTAACACCGAGACTCAAACCTGTGCAAGCGGCCTCAGCGGGTCGCGCAGCTCTACCGGCGATCCTGAACCATCGACAAGCGTGATTAGCTCGATCGCAGGAAATCATAAAGCACGTGCAATTACGTTGGAATGAATGCATCCGCATGAGGGTTTGCATGAAGCTCTAGAGCTCGAACGAGTCGACTCTCAGCACCCCTTTTTGTTTGTTGTTGATCCGCCTCACGAAATCCCACTTAGGACACCTCGGAGGTAGTAACAACAACAACAACAACAACAACAACAAGAGCTTCTATGTTTAAGTAACTTGTGGCAGCGGCCTGTGGCCACCAGTAGCGGCCACCAGTAGCCGCCGCAGGGCAGTGTGTGGGCCGCAGGGCCTCACGAGGAGCCAGGAGAATTGATGGAGCAGCTTCTCCGGGTGTATTGGCTGCTGTAATGGGCTGGAAAAGTGGTTTTATGTTGATCCTTTGCAACTGAAGCGCTGAGTAGGATAAGTGGGACAAGTAGTAGAAACATACTGATCAGAACCCAGCTGGGAAGGAAGAGACTTGTGCTTGCTCCACAATTTGGCGGCCACCGACCTACATATCATATCAAATATTTTGGCACTCGGTCATAATCCCAGGACTTGGCACACAACATTGTATTGAATCTTCAGACGCATCATCAGTGGCTTCGATGGAGATGTATTCTTGAGCTAAACACAGGCAATAATTGAAACACAGCACCTAGCTTACGTTCCTCACCTTTACGATCTGAGAAACATCACCACGACTGTTAGCAGACACAGAGCCGGCGGTGGCGGGTTTCATCTCCATGTTAACGTATTTGGGCACTGCCGCTTGGAAAACAAAACGTTCAAAATTGTTGTGCGTGTAGTTGAAAAATTTACAGATGACACTGGTTTTCGTGTCTAGAGGGTCATCGACCAGATCCATGATGATTGTCAGGCCATCTTTCTCGAAGGCCTTCACTTGAGTAGACGCTCGCTGTGATTGAGAAGGCAAGGTCTTTTCTTCAGTCATGACTGCATTGTCTATAATCAAGGCAGGGTCTCCACTTATAGGTGCAATGGGCGTTTTGGTGGTAAATATGTCAGTGAGAAGATCTACATCAGCTGCTTTTGAGCAACCAGCGGTTGAAGTAGCCATTTGGTTCATAATATGTTTTTCTGGTTGAACAACACTGTCGAAAATGCCATCAAGATCAAGTAGGTCCTTTACTGGAAATGAACGTTCACTTTCCGGGTCATGATGTTTGCGAGGCTGTCTCTGTGCTGCATTCGGCGCGCCATATATTGATGCACTATGATCATGTTGCTCGCCTATTACCGACGAGTGGAGGAACATATATCTCTTGAATTTTACCAAGAGTTGCATCGTCTAGAGGCGGCATTCGAGTGAGAGTATGATCGCAAACCTCTGCCCATCGGGGGTTGAGCATTGATACATACTCGCAGGAGCGCTGATGCAACTCAAGAGAAAGCGACGAGTTGAATTGACTATGATCATGCATCTTAACTAATATATATATTAAATGAACAGAAAGTAAATTCTAATGTAAATTCTAACTAGTAGCGCAAAATAATCTCAGCTACGATCAAGCATCTCAACTAGTTAAAAATAACACTCCACTTGCAAAACACATAACATAGTTGCATTCACAGGAACGACTTCATGAGGCTGATGAATTCAGTCTGCCCTACGCTCAGTCGATTTGAAAGCTTCATTAATGCAGTGAGCGTGTACGACTTTGTGAGAACTGTGGCAAGGTGCGACTTAAGGACAGTCTCTAATATCCCAAGTATGTCGGCCACTGTGACTGCTTGAAAAATATCCAAGCTGTCACGATCAAGTTCACAGCTGTGTAAAAGATGGTCTCCGTATTCCCCGATGCACCACACAGCTACATGCATGAGAGCAATTTGGACCCGAGGCAATTCATCCCGCAGAAGTCGGAAAAGCTTGTGCGTAGCAAAACTGTGTAGCAGTGGCGACTCAGTTACATGGGAAACAGTCATACACGCAATACTATCATCACAGTGATTGCCTGCTATTGAAAGCATGGCAATCAATGTTTCGACTTGCCATTTGGATGATGGGGCAAACCTAACGATAATATGGCTCATAGTCAGAAGTATCAATGCACAGAGTTATCGCCGTTCGACAACATTAGAAACCTGTATTAGTTGGCCTCGCACTTGCACGCGCAAGGAAGCCCTCACTCTGCACTGGTGTGACTCACGCGACCACAGAGGAGAGCCCTATGTTCTGGCGCTGCAACTACCAAGTAATTGAGCATCTCGCGGACGAGCTCCTTGACATTATTTGAATTAACTAGCTGATAGGTCAGTTCGAGTGCACGTTGCCGAATGGAAACATCTGGATCCTTCAGGCACTCCAAGATTGTCGCACCTGCAATATTTTTAGACAGTCAAAAGTCGATTACATCATTTACACTCAACCTACGATGTCGTTGTACAGCGGCGACGTCTTCATTGACAACTTTGGTGAGGGAATTGAGAGCAACCTGCACTATCAACCGTCACTATTGTATGCATCTCACGATCGCACATAACGAATATTGTTGTCGCGGTTGAGGAGAAATCGGCCAAGAATATTGACTGCTAAGACTTTGAGCCCAGACTCTGACTGAATAGCCATGATTGCTTTGACACACTCATACAGGATGGCATTTCCGGCGTTGCGATTCGTTTCCGTGTTAGTGGCCACCTGTATGTACATGTGATAAAATGCAGTAAAAAGATGCCAACAATGCCTGGGCAAGGACATCGTTCATAGCTTCACTGGCTTCGTCATCATTTTTTCCTATGAATTACTTGATCGGCCTGCGAATCGACGGCCCGAGCCTACCTAGCATTGCGAGCAGTTGAAGAAGCTTGACCTATCAATGGAGCGGCTTGATTAATGCTTCATCAGAAAGCTAGACAACCTGTAGGAACGGATCCGCTATTCCTGCGATATCATGCTCTGGCCTATGCATCAGCCCACAGACTAGCAGACGCGCTTATGATGTTTATGAACGCGGCTGCGAACGAATATCCAAGGTTGAGGAGGTTTCGAAGCATTTTCACGAGAGATGGCACGGTACGATGGAATTTTTTGCTGAGTTTGGGCTGGAGAACTAAGACCTACAGGTGATCCCCAAGTCACCGGACAGAAAGACAAATTGTTTGATTAATGGACGGGGCGACCAGCATCAGAAATGAGCTGAACTGCAGTGATCAGGACGCCATGTGAACGGTCTTTGATTAGACCGATGATTCGATCTATATAGTCTTCCGCGACCTCCGGGATGCGTTTCATGATGCGGATGAGCGCAAGCGCCGCCTTTTTCCGAACGTATGGATTGGAAGATCCGAGTTGTAGCGCGACATCAGCTGCAAGTACGCGACCCATGTCTGCCTGCAGGTATGGGGCATGGACATAGGTTTATGGACGGAGCGCATACCGTCGCAAGATTTCCCACGGATGTGAGGGCCAAACCAACCACATACTGTGACCTGTCAATCATTCAAAATGAAAAAACCAGATTCCTCATTGGAGCGCGCAGATTCACGCTCGGTGCTGCAAATCATTCTTCAGTGAATTTGTTACGAGTGTCAAGACCTCAGTTCTTTCATCGAGCAGAAGCATCAACGCGAGATAACCTGCTTTTAGGCGTGGAATGTGGCTACAATCATGAGCAAGTTTACCGATACGTTTTTCAGGAAAGTTTGGTGAAGCTATAAGCTTCAGGCATTCCATCTGACCAAAGTGACTGGGGTAGCCTGCTCACAGTAATGTGCGCGTGCATGATAATGAGCACGCACCAAGCATGTGGATGAAGAGCAATTTCGCCACGTTTCGATGACGCACAAGCATTGCATTTTCTTTGAATGCTGTACGAATCAAGGCGCATTCTTTCGCTATTACGGCACGTTCTTCTTGGGCGGTTTTGCCTAAGCGCAATATAGTGAGGTGTCCAAGTTGCCTTCGTAATCGTATTACAAGCCCGTACTGCGCGAATTAGTTCACGAAGTTTGATCGACATACTATTATTGGGCCCTCGGAGGGAAGATTGGCGCCTCAGCTTCCCGCCAGGCCCACCGGATGTTGGTGGACAGCCGACGGGCCCCTGCACGACGGTCCGGCCCCGGGACGGGGGCCGGGGACGGCGGGCACGGGGGTTCCGGCACGGTAAATGCGCTCCGGGCACGCGGCCCGGCACGGGCCCGGCACGCGGCACGGCACTCGGCACGGGCCCCCGGGCACGGGCCGGGCACGGGCCACGCGGCCCGGCACGGGCCCGGCACTCGGCACGGGCCCCGGGCACGGGCCGGGCACGGGCCGGGGAGGCCCGGCACGGGCCCGGCACGGGGCCCCGGGCACGGCCCGGGCACGGGCCGGGGACGTGGCCGGGCCCCGGGGGACCGCGGCACGCACCGTTGTGCAGGGCCCCCTCAGCCGACCCAGTCAACTAGGCTGATCCAAGCCTCGGAAGGTTTGCAGGCCGCATCGGCCGAGACGATGACTGCGGCGAATAGCCAAGTAGCGAAGCTAATGGGCGGAATAACTAAACGGAGCGGCGGTAAGTCGCTTGCAGACCCCCGGGCCCTGATGATAAGCAGGTATGAGGAGCTGAGGGTTTGCATGCTAACTTATTGCGAGGGCAATAGCCGCATTTCCATAGCTGCGAACGCGGGTGCGAACCGTCTGAGTGTCATCCACAAGTTGTGGAATGAGGTTCCGGAGTTAGCTTCCTAACGTCGCTATGACGTCAGTCAAACTACTATCCAGCAGGTGCACTGTCCGGCGACTGTGCAACCTCGCTGAGCCTGGTGCTACCTGAGACACAGAAAAGCGCTGTGCTCTCTGTGCCTGCTTGGCAGTCACTCCTTCAGTTCGCTGTCTATATGAGACTTGAAACTGGATTAGAATGAATTAAGGAAGGGAAGGGAAAACTAGCAGGATACGCAGTAGGAGCGCAGTGGGGTAAAGTGCACTGCAACATCAAGATGCAGTTCACTGAAGATGAAGGTAGAAGCCTCTCTATCTCTCCAAGGCTAGTGGGAGATACGAAAGGCCAAGTGGACGGAAATGAATTGTAGAAGCTGGGAGATACGAACCAAAGTGCACGGTGCAACGGAACTAGCTCGTGGCACGATATCATCATGGCTTCTTTACAGTGTCGGCTGTTCGGCCTGGCCCTGTTGGCCATCCAAAGAGAGTGCAAATCACAATGTCCGAATTCATGCAATCGCAAGGGAGCCTGCGATATCTTCGGGTCGTGCTCTTGTTTCTCGGGGTGGACAGGCTCGGACTGCAGTCTACGGAGCTGCCCGTGGAGCTACGCATGGACCGACTATGCCTCGTCTGACGATACTGCGCACGCCAAAGCGGAGTGCTCGAACCGGGGCTTGTGCGATCGGACCACTGGAAGTTGTGAGTGTATGGAAGGGTTTACAGGGCGTGCATGCGAGCACATGGCATGCGACTTCAATTGCCACTACCATGGGGAATGTCTCAGCATGCGGCGCCTTGCACTGACGCAGTATAGCGACGAGAGCGAACGTTTCGCTTACGAGTCACCCTGGGACGCAGATAAGATCTATGGGTGTGTTTGCGACAGTCCATACACAGCGACATTCAACTGTGGGATGCGTGTATGTCCCTCTGGAGATGATCCGTTGACGAGCAATCAAGTCAACGAGGTCCAGATTTTGACGTGTATGGCGACGTCCGGTAAGTTCGTCCTTCTTCTCCATGGCAAACCGACAGGAGACATCCGCAAGGGGATGCATATCGACCAATTTATGGCAGCGCTGCAAGAGAGCGAGGCAATCGACGCCGTATCAGTAACATTTTCCGTCGATAATGGGACGGCGTGCCAGGAGGACTCGATCAATGCCATCAGTATCGAATTTACTCAAAACTTTGGATCATTACCCCCCTTGATAGCAGTCACAGACAATCTAGAGGGCACAGTGACTATATCTGGCGATGGAGTAACCATTTTACGCGATACCGCCAATTTTGAGTATCTGAGTGTAAAAGGAACTAAAGAAGACGAGCAGTGCTCAAATCGTGGACTCTGTGACCCATTCTCCGCGACGTGCACTTGTATGAATACGAACTCTGACACGTACTCTTCCTCAGATGGATATGGAAATGAGGGTGACCGGGGAGACTGCGGTCATGCGGTGACTACTATCAACGAGTGCCCGGGTGACGTAGCGTGCTCAAATCATGGCGTCTGTGACGTGATCAGCTACAGATGTGCTTGTGAAGATGGGTGGTTTGGGGCGGACTGTAGTCTGCGATCGTGCCCGCTTGGATTGGCTTGGTTCTCCTATCCATCAGAGGCCAACCTGGCGCACGATGAGTGGGTTGAGTGTTCAGGTGGTGGTATCTGCGACTACACGCTGGGCCTATGCACGTGCGGGGCTCAATTCTCTGGTGCTGCTTGTGAGTACCTAGCTTGTCCTGGTGGATCAGCAACCGCCTGTACCGGCCACGGTCGATGCGCATCGATGGCCGAGCTCGCACTGGCAGCGACCGACAACGGTGATGCGAGTCCGCGAATCTATGGCGCAGATCCGAATTCTGGGCTCACCTGGGACGCAAACCGGGTGTTTGGCTGCGACTGCGACGGCGGTTGGGCGGGATATGATTGCTCCCTGAGAATTTGTTCCTTTGGAGATGACCCAAATACGTATGGGCAGACCAATGAAGTCCAACTCTTTGAGTGCGAGGGAACTGGTGGCACGTTTCGCCTCATCTTCCGCCAAAAGGCGACGTTGGAAATCCCATTCAATACGACACGCGATGACCTTGAGACTCTTATTGAAGCTCTTAATACGATCACTGACGTCGATGTTGTCTTCTCCAATGGAAACTCGACTTGCACTGACTCATCCCTTGGATACAATGTCGTCAGCGTCACCTTCAATACGGAGCATGGGGACATTCCTTCAATGACAGCTGACACGAGCCTACTTTACGATACAAATTATGGGACACAGATCGGGGGTGGCACGGTGACCTTCTTCACAGACGGTGCCGCAGCCGCAAGTAATGATCTAGCTGTTTCCGTGATCGGCACCACAGAGGAGATTGAGTGTTCAGGCCGGGGGCTTTGCGACCGCCTGTCCGGGACATGTTCTTGCTTCGACGGGTACTCCTCCTCGGATGGTATGGGAGGCAGTGGCTCCCAGGGCGATTGCGGCCACCGTAGTCTCTGTAATGCTGCTTGGTGTGCGAACTGAGTGCGCCTTTGGCCTGCGACCCAGCCTAAAACCAAGAGCAGCGGCCTAGTTGCTAATTTAGACAAGCCACGATAGGAAGTACACGCAAATGAGGCATGACCACTTGCCTAACGAGATAGTAAACTCCGCCGGCGACACGGGGAGGCAGCCTAGTGGGGCTGTCCTGCCGTGTGAGGGTGAACTATCGAGGTTACGCAGTGGCGGTACACCGGCGTCTCTGTTATCCTCACGTCACCTCAGCTACCGCAGTATACGGGGGCCGGGGCTACTGGGCGAACGGGCAGAGGATCTGCCTCACTAGGTCCAGGAAGACTCTCCGTCTATTACAGTGCGGGATGCAGCTAGGCAGGGATAGAGAGGCAGCCTAGTGGGGCTGCCCTGCTATCCGAGGGTGAACTATCGAGGCTACGCAGTGGCGGTACACCGGCGTCTCTTGTAAAGGAATATAAGCTCCACACGCTGACTGTGAAGGACTACATCTAGAGAACGAAATATATATTATCCAAGAATCCAATCCGCTGATCCCATTAGAAGGATCCGGCAAGATATAAGGAGCGGGCATAAAGGGGTTAGTGTAGTAGGGACCCAGCTAGGTATTTCCGCCGCTTATTTCCGCTGTAGGAAGAGTACTGCAAAATTATGGCCGACCTGCGTAAATGTAGGCCGGTGCGGTAAAGCTCACTCATCTAAGTGCAGTCTTTTTGTCCGAGGATTCCGGCCGATGAGAACCCAGCTTTTGCTCGATTCGACGCCGCCGAGGCGTCGTTTCTCGCCGCCACTGCTGCGGATTGCAGGGCGGGAGCCCGCAAGGGACCACACAAGGGCTCAAGAACCAAGGGCTCAGGAACCGGAAACGCGGGACCTCAGAGGGCCTGGAAGGTCATGCGCGTACCTGGGCCACCCCCCCTTCTCGCAGGGGGGGCAGCACATAAGATTGCCACACATCCCCGTGTCCAAAGAAAGCATTATGGGCTGTAAACGACAACCTTTTTGCGGATGGCGAGGCGGCATACCGGGCATTCTTTCATGGTCACACTGCAGTTGCTACAAACGACGAGGTGCATACAGTCCAGCAAGAGGACATCCCTTGCCCCATCGAGGCAGACAACGCAGGAGTTTGCAATCGCAGCATTGCGCACGGCCTTCACTTGCACGACGCGAGAAAGAAACCTTTTTAAGTTAATTGAGATATGTTCCAGGGTATTTGTGTCGAGCTTTGCGGGTTCGATGCCATCTAGCCATTCAACAAGGCTCAACTTCTTCTTCACGCAGGTTACACAGGCACCAATTTTGGCAGTATCAAAAATTGAATAACTAGTTGCTAAGGCCATTTCCCATGAAGTACATCTTTGGCGATGCACCTCCTTGTGAGTAGATTCCGTGCCAATCAAATCAAATAGCTCTGTGTCAAAGATGGTAGCTTCCAATGTCAATGGCGACTGTTGAATCGCGACAAGCAGCTTGCGGCGTAGCACGACGAGCTTCGCATGCAGTTCATCGTACACGGAGCAGGCTCGCTCGCGTTTGTGATACTCAGACACGAGGCAGCGCTTCGACATGGAATTGAGCTTAGCCCATCGTTCGGTCTGCAACTGCAGATTTTTGACATGTTGTGCATACTGGACTCCTACAGCAACCAGCAAGAGGATTGAGGCAATCAACGACATAAATTGAAGAAACGCAGACATGCGTCGGGGATCATTTCTTCCATGGAAAACATGGTTTGTCACAACGCCATTCGCCTCGCAAGAATAATGCGCGATGAAAGCGCCAAAGTCCTCCCGCATCAACTCTCTAGGAAAAGCTGAAAGTGTGTCCTGAAAATCCGACATCGTTAATTATATAGTTCGACGAGGTGCAGCTCGAAAATGACCGACATGTCCGTTCTAGCAGGTTATGCTCTAATAATGAGCGCGGCAATATATGTAACAAAAGCAACCGCTCAGAAGCTGCATCGTCGCGATTCTGGAATTCCTACTACATAGTAGTTAATTTAGTTCAAAACTAGCAGGATACGCAGTAGGAGCGCAATGGGGTAAGGTGCACTGCAACATCAAGTTGCAGTTCACTGAAGATGAGAGTAGAAGCCTCTCTATCTCTCTACTCCCACTGGATTGAAGCTCCGCGTAAGTCCCAAATGACAGCAGACTTCAACCTCATCGTAAGTGATGTCGATTAACTTGAAGTCAATGAAGCGACCATATAAAAGCGCAACGTCACGATGATGGGTAGTAAGAAATTACTATAACTTAGCTTAATAATTAGTAGTGGGAGGTTAACCGGGGTTAAGCCCCGTTTGTAAGCTCTAGGGGGCGGAATGGAGGCCGCAAAGCTTGCCGTTCTATGTAGATGCATATCTTCTTGCATCTCCAGAACCGTTACCAGTAGATGAAGGGCAAGGGGACGAAGATGACAGAGACGAGTTAGAGTCTCAAACAACATGCACAGATCTGCTTGATTGAAGCGCCGTGTAATTCGCCGCCAATAGAATGCTTGAGTTCCTTCCTATTTCCAATGATTTCCAGGGCCGCGCCGTCCGGGCTCGATAGGGGTCCCATATTCATCTTCTATTTCCCGGGCATTCGCCGGTATGCGTGGTTAGCCCTGGCTAATTTCCCCCGATGTGGTCGGGGCTAGCCCGGTGGTGCGCCAGCCGCTGGGGACTTTGGGCCTGTATGATATCGTCTGGAACTGTGACGATGGGGAGTTTATTAACAGAAGGGGGAATCCAGGTTCTGTGCCGCTCCAAGTTCATCTTCGGCACTTTCTTTAGCCCCCCAGTGTCCTAACCAACCACAACGCTAGGTTTTGATATAGGTTGTGCTCTCTTTGACTATCTTTTTTGGGTTGCGACGGTAGCCGCGATCCTTTTCGCCCTATAAACAGCAATATTTCCTGGTCAGGGCGAGGGACAAAACGGGAACAAACCTCACCATCTGCGAACTCTTTGTCCCACTTTGTCCATATCTCCCTCCCTGACATTTTCTCCGCAATGTGATGCCGTTTTATGTAGTCTTTGATGGCCCTGGGCACCTTGGGGGCAATGTCATCTATCCTTCCCGCGATCAAGGCCCGTCGAAGTTTGCTCGAGGAAGTAGATTCGAGATCGGCACTCAGAAGAGCGTTATCTTCCACGACATGCGCAACATGCCGCCATCTCGTCCCCATCTGGGCAAGGAGGCGCTCGTGCTCTTGAGGACGGCAGACTGTAATGCACTCGTGGCCTGCGTCTCGGAGCTCCTCAAGGTTGAGACGTAGCAGTTGGTCCGGTGCGACCAGGAGAACGAAACGGACAGGCGAGGTGAGCTCTGGGAAGCGCTGCTCAAATAGTTGGCGCACGTGGTCGAGAGTGCTGAGGTAGTCCAGGATGCGTCGTCGTGTGATCTCCCAGCTATCTACAGTCAGCCACGGAGAGCCACCAACGGCGGCACGGGCCATGGCGAGTCGGTGTCTTGGTGGAATAATTTCCCGTGGCCTAGTCCTACACCGCTGTCGGACTTCGGTTGCATGCTTGGGGATAAGAAGTCCACCGAGCACACTGAAACGGGTCCTCTCTTCAAGATATTGACGCGCGATGACGAAATGTCGCAAGTGCATCTTATGAATTGGGTTATACTTGCCTCTTCCCACGAGAATTACTTTAGGCCGCAATGATTCCGTCGAAAATATTTCTGCAACTCGCTGCGCTAGGTGATGGCATACGTTTTCAATGACAGGCACGCCGGCATTTGGGGCCTCTGAGACTCTGGCATATGTACCGGACTTCCACCGGTCGCCAATATGCATACCTGCGAGTTGGTACTCGGAGTGCTCTGTATGGATGTGGTCAGATAGGTCTGCGTCGGTGATGCTGTCGCGCTGTTTGTATGATATTGATGAGAGACGATTTTGCGGTGGTGCGTCTAAGATTACTGGTAACTTGATCTTCTTGAGGGATGGCGACGAGTCATAAGCCTCACCATGAGGAGTCTCATCCCAGGAACTCCGGAGACTACCGCCATCGCTGACTGGGCTTCCGCAGACCACAGGCCGAATGTGCTGCGGCAACTGCTCCCTGAAGAGTTCTATGACTTTTCTTCGGAACTCTGTCACTGCCTTTCGACTTGATGATCCGCCTGGGAAAAAGAAGATGGTCGGTGACCCTGAGGTGATCTGCTCTAATTTAAATGTGCCCCAACACTTATTTTTTGGCTCTACAAGTAATCGCACCAGCTTGCTCGAGTTGCATCACTACATCTCGTGCGGTTGTGTCGTTACTTGCGAGGAGACGATGAATATGTCGTGCATCGACTGCGTGCAACACTTCGTCTGTGACGAGGCGCTGCATCACCTCAGCTACTGAGATCCCCAAGCGCTGAATAAAAGTGTTCTCTATCTCTCCCATGGGCGTACTGAATGATGCAGCCGGTCGCATCCGTGACTTTCTCCGTCCTTTTCGTGATTTGGTTCGTCGCAAAAGGCCTGTCGGTGCACCTGGTGAAATTGTCACCCTGCGGAGTAGAAAAACTATTTCGGTAACTCTCAGAGACGAGCGCTGGGAAACGCGCATTGATGGCAGGTTGCTCATGTTGTATTTTGATTCTGTAGACTCAATTTGGGCACGATCTCTTGACGCCATCAATACTGTAGACTGTGACTCAAGGCTTTGGTGCCTTTGAGGTTGGATCTCGGGCAACGAAGTTGTTTGTGCGAGTGTACCATAGGCATCCCCGTTCGTCAACGTGGGTGAGGTCTTAGTAATTCGCGATCCGCGAAGCTTAGACTGAAGCTCCTCTACGCGTCGCCGCAACGCCCTCAGTTCCCGTACATTTTCCTTGGCTGTCCGCGGGGACGGAATCGGAACCGTGTCCGGCCGGTCTTGCATAGCGCGTTTGTTCCGCAACTGACTGGTCAAACTCCAGATACAATAGTACTCCAGCCCTCAGCTGCAGTTACGCCCCTTCTTGCTGATCATCATGCTGATCTGAAAACAAAACGCTTCGTTTAGAGCGGATCGGGATCGACCTCCTCGATCCGATCAAAAAGGTCGTGACGATGCATCCCACCTGCTCTCGAACGCGGTGCTCGAGGCGGTGCGGCCGCTGTAAAGGGAATTATCTAGGCTTGTAGGTCGGCAGATCGATTTGTCTCCCCTTCGTTCCCTAGTCTAAAGCACCGCATCCAAAAGAGGCCAATGTGGAGGTTGTTGCATTTGTGGAGGTGTTCGTTCGATACTCAACAATTCCGGTGAGTGCCTTGTTGTTATTAACAACCCCCATTCATGGTATATTTCTCATGAGCCTTCCGTGAGGTACCTTGTTGAAGTGCAAGGTTAGAGGCAGGTTGGAGGTTGGAGCCTAAGTTGAAGCGCCGAAAACAAATCACGCCGGCGGGGTCTGTTAGTAAACCGTGTCTACGACAGTCCGATGTCCGCGCGTGCGCTGGTGCCAGCGGACGGCCCGGCCAGCGGGGCCCAGACACGCGCACGGTCGACGTAGCGCCTCATGGCCGCCTAGAGGCCGTCGGCAAGAAATGGTACAGAGTAGTTTCTATGGCCCAGGCAGCCCATGGTTGTTTCGCACACTGCTAGAACGCGTCGTATTTCCCGCGTTCGGTCGGCGTGTGGCTTCGAGCGCCCAGCGAACTAGCTTGAAACAGCGGCTTGAAATTGCCATGCAAACCGCAAAATAAAAGTTTGAAGAGGCTTGAAGGTTAATTTACCAAGGCCTGGGGGTTGCGGAACTTTGAATCGGAAAATCGTAAGGTGTTTGGGTCCGCGAGGGAGTCTGACGCGTGGTTTCGGACGGGTTGCGCCCGAAGGCGTGAACGGCGCCTCGGAGGTCCCCTGCAAGGCGTGAGCGGCATTGTTGAGGTCCCCTGAAGGGCAAGCGGCGTTGAGGTCCGAGGAAGTTTAACACATCCCGCCGGCGGGGAACGTTACGAGAGAAGTATGTAAGCTTTCGCTCACTGTCCGCCCCAGAATGGAAGCGATCGTTGCCACCCGGGCGATCATTGCTCAGGCTTAGGTCCTAGTTTGGCACTCCAAGTTTAGAGCGCGAGTAGAATCCGCTTATTCTCGGCAATCCAAACATATTATCGACTGCTGTGATTCAACGCTATTATTTTGGCACCATTGACTTGCGGAACAAGGCGACGTTTCTGAGTTTCGGTGGAGTCGCAGACGTGAGAGACGTTCGTGTTTAGGATAGGGACACATGTACCCTGTCCTCGGCTCAACAGGGCCATAACATTTCGCTTGTGTCTAAGTTCGTTTTGCCTCATAAAGGCTATAATGTTATCAAAGCTTGTGCTCCCTGGAGGGCCCAATTCATTGACGCAAAGCGTATCCTTGTCACATGTCTGTATATCCCCCTGCTGGAGATATTCGGCGTCCTCCAATTTCTTCCCTCTGGAAATGCTATCATCTAACCATTGTTTTACGACGCATGGAATTTTCCAGGCGACTGCTGCGTCATATTTAGCTCCATTCCCATGTTTGGCAACTAGGATGTCTGTCATTTCTGCATCGAGCGTTGGCATGTATACAGCCCCAGCTTTCAGTATCTGCGTGCATATTACCTCGCGTACGACTCTATCAAATCCACTCAGTGCAACCCGGAGCCCAAGCAACGGCGGAATGCGAAAGTTTATTTCCTTTAGTCTCGCGGTTGCTTCATAACAGCTCCTTATATAAGTTACATCTACCACTACAATCTGTCCAGACATCGGATAGCGTGTTGCTGCCTCGTATTTCGATGATTTCACTGATGCACATACTAGGTGTGTGGTATCACTTGTAAGTTCATTGTTTACTTGTGCACCCATGGCAAGACCCATGCGGCACAAATCTGCGCGCGCGCTCGACGTGAGCCCAGTGGTGCATAGCACCACTGACCGCATTAAACTTGATAATCGAGTCGGAATTGATTCACCATTGATATTCATCGATCCCGCATAATATGATGAGTGTGCGGCTCGGCGCTAAGGCCAGTGTGGAAACAACCGTCGTCTACGAAGGACAAGCCCAGTGAGGGAAGTTGGACTCTAGATGATAGAGACTCAGACGCCGCGCCGGTGGGCGCAAGGTCACCTAGATCTATCAGGCCCGGCGGCACCATTCTTTCAATGGCGGCTCTTTGCCGGCGAGCGAGATTATCGAGCGGTCCGCCGTGGCCCCGGCGAGGTTGGTGGCAAGTGGTGTCGGCGGCGGCGAGCATCTCGACGCGCGCGCACGCGTCGAGTAACGGGATCGCAGCCGCGGCGCGCGGCGCCGCCTACCTCCACCGCAGACTCGGGGTGTGAGTGTTAGGTGGATACGGGGGATATCCCGGGGGTATCTTTGGTCCTTCGCAGGGGCCGTGCAACGAATATAGACTGACCTTGATGTCTCTCTCTCTCTCTCTCTATCTCTCTATCTCCATGACACTACTGTAGTACAGTACGCTACACTACCACTACCCTACTACTATCATGCTAGCGCATCGAGCCACTCGGCGGCCGCCGCGCCCTGGGAGGTCCGTACGCCAGGGACCTTCGCCTTGAGTAGCTCTTGCATGCTCTCTGCAAAGCAAAGGTGCATGCCAAGTAGGAACGGAGACGAACCCCTTGAAGACCCAGCGCGCCTCAAGGTCCCTCTCTTAGCAACATGGCCATGATGTAGCCGAAGAGCTGGACCAACTCATCGCGGTCCGGCTTCTTGCGGCCCGCGTGTGTGTTGTCGCCCGTGGCCGTGACGATGCTGCCGAGCATGCCCACGGGGAAGAACAGCTCGAAGTAGGCCCCCGGCGGACGATTGTCGCCGAGGTCGTTGCCCCAGTTGAGGCTCGCGCGCCAGCTCGGAAGCCGTCCACGGCTTCGTGCTAGGGTAAAGATTAATAAGGTGCTTTAGGCGTGCGTGTGGGGCTTCCGGCTCCTGAACGTGCGGGTGGGGTCGCCTCGTGGTCGTCGGCCGCCAGCGAGGGCGGGCACGGCGCCATCGGATGCGGGCCAACTTTGAGCTGCTCGCAGATAAAAAGCCGCACTGTACAGCTGTACTATTGTAGAAGATTGTGACTTTGTGACTCTGATATGCATCGAGTAGAAATAATTCAGAGCGGAAAACATTGCCTCCGGCTGCGACGTGTACGCACGTATGTGTTTGCTTTGCGTCAACGCTGGCTGTATGAAAACCAGGTCTTGTCATTTTCGTTTAATCTTGCAGACACTTTGCTTACAGAGAGCGCTTTTACAGATTCATCGGTTGCATGAGCAGCGCGATTCAAACCAAGCATTATTGAGATGGTGCTCAGCAAAGCAAAGTCAATTGAGTACAGTTAATGTCTTGAATGACTGCTTTCATATCTGGCATTCTGGACCGTTTGCTACGATAAACGGATTTCGTCTTGGTCGTAATCACACAACCCAGGTTTGTGCAAACTGGGAGCCTGACAGATTTAATTGCCGAACTAGGTGGACTGGAATGAAATAAATGCAGCGTTGGGTGATATTCTCTTGTTATTGGCTACTATCGATTATAATTTTTCGAGGTATACTCTATCTTTAATTTAGATAAGACATAAGTTTGGACTAAGATATGTATTATTCCCTATGGGAAACTATTCCAAATTGAGATCTGGTACCTTGACTTGCTGCCCTCCACAACTCAAATGTTGCTATTTGTAGCCAACGATCCAAAGGTTCAATACTGTTTGTATACAGATGATAGCTTTTCACTGCTACCGAAACGCAATTTCAATCAGGCCATGGTTGCCCTGCTGACATGTGCCAAGGTAGGTAGGTGGGGGGTATTGTCCAATCCGTTTGCGTTTTAATATTGTTTTATAAACAGGAACTTGGAAATTTTGTTGAGACAAAAGACCCAGCCTTGCGCTACCCGTATCTGATCCAGAATGACAAGATCGACTCATCTTCCGTCATGCATACAAGCAACGAAGGGAAATGGACAAAAGCAATGAAATTTTTACTGACTGATCTCAAATGGGCTGTAGCGTGGATTGTCAAGCACTGTGATGGCCATCTAA